TTTTTGTCTCTCTGTCTCTCTGGCAAGCTCAGGCATCCTACAGAAAAAAAAACCTCTTTACAAAATAAATTAATTTTTAAAAACTGTCATTCTTTGAAAAGAATATGATCTTTATCTGGAAAATAAAGAAAAAAGTATTATAAACAATAAATGAATACAGTAGGAGGCTGGATACCATCCTGAGGGCTTAATGGGTCACCAGGTTTCTTGGGAATCTTTAGAAATCTATGTCAGGTCAACTCTAGCAGGATCCTTCTATCATAGAGGATGAAGTGATTCATACACTTTGGAAAAAACATTTATTCTAAATAGTATTTGTATTTTATTTCCCTATTCACACTTCCAATTTCAGTAATTCATCCCTGGAATTACTGACTGCATAACACACGGTGGTCCAGACAAAATTGTCTACAACCAAGACATTCACTTCTTAGTAATAGAAAGGAGACAGTTGGCCAGCCATGGGTCATTATCATATTTCCCATCTGCCAGAAGCAGCTGGCCTTATAGAACAATGAAATGGTCAACTGAAAACAGATCTAGGTGTATCCAAGAGACCACACCTGTGAGGCTGGGGTGCTCTCTTGCAGAGGGATATCTGATCCAAAGGCAGACTAAAATGCAATGCCAATTCTCCCTCAGCCAGTAGAGAGGTTCAGAAACCATGAGTTGTGGTGAGGTAGCAGCTTTTCTCTCTAAAAATATTTGCTTTCCATTCTCCAGGTCACTTATGTTTTATGGATTTAACCACACAAGGGCAAGTTGTTGTTCCTAGGGAACCCAATAAAGGAACCCAAATTTGGCCATTTGGGACTCCCAATGCCACCAGGGATGTGGCAGAAAAGGGTACCCCTGTGCTGACTGTGTTCTCCCTGATTATGAAGAGGAAATAGGGTTGTTACTACCTGATATGGCGTGGGTGGAGTAGAAAAGAGAAGATGAACCTGTGATTGCCCTTTAACAACCACACCCAGTGGCAAAAATTAACAGAAAACTATCACAGTCTACATTATTGTTACTTTTTTTTTTTTTTACTCCCTATTGGTGGTAGCTAAATTTATCAATTTTTTCAGGGTTTCAAGAGAGTAAGAAATAGCCCTCGGTTAAGGAGGAATAGGCAGCACTCAAAAACTATAAACTCTGAAAATCAGAAAAATTTTAGAGTTTAGAATAGGCTGAGCGATCTCATCTGCATATCTGGATGTGACTTGGTGTCCCTTTAGGGATGTTGAAGTGTGTTTATAGCTGTGATAACTGAAACAGTGGGACAAATTATATGTCAGATTGGCCAAGGCTTAGTTACAGGCCTTCTCCAATTCTATGTCTACATGCTATACATGAGCAACCTCCTCCATTCCCTTATCTCTAAATAACTTCTATATACTGATGACTCCAAAACTTACCTTTCCAGCTCTGGCCTTACCAGGATATCCAGACTATTCAACTACCTGCCTACTTGATTAACTCCATGGAGGCCTCCCAAGGATCTCAAATCAACATATTCTAAGCAAAACTACTGATTTCTAACTATCACATCCCCTAACTTGCTCCTCCTTCATTTCCCTTCTTTTTCAATAAATGGCACCAATAAACCACCTGAAACAAAAATCTAGAGCTGCCATGTCCAATATGGCGGCCACTAACCACATGTGGCTACTTAAATTTAAATTTAAGTTTCAGTTTTTAAAATTTACTAGCCACGTTTCAGGTGCTCAACAGCCACATATAGTTAGAAGTTAACGGCAGTAGACAGTCAGATACAAAACATTTCCATCGTCACAGAAAGTTCTACTGGATAGTCCTTCTTTAGTGCAGTTGCTATTGGATCCTCTTTCTTTAACCTCCCACATCTAATTCATTAACAAGGCCTGTGAATTTTCTTTTTCTTTTTCTTTTTTTTTTGGAGAGGTTTTTGCTATAGGGTGCGTGTGCTCGCTAGAAAGACAAAGAGAGACAGAGAGACAGAAAGCGAGAAATCACCCCCTAGAGGGGATGGCCACGCCACAATCCCTTCTCCTCCATTCTCCTCTTGGGATCTTGGGCACGCATGCACACGCACCCGGTGTGAGTTTAAGCCACCAGGTCCAGGATGCGAACCACAGTCAACTACATGGGAGTCTAGTGACATAGCCATTACGCTAACTGCTGGTCCCAAGGCCTGTGAATTTTTTATAACCATTTTTTAAGAATGTTTTTGTTGGGGCCGGCAGGTGGTATGGTGGTTAAGGGTGTTGGAATCCCACATGTCCGACCGCAGTTCGAGTCCTTGACCTGGCGGCTTGCTTTCTCACTTTCTCTCTCTCTCTGACACTCTCTGGTCAAATTAAAATAAATAAATAAATAAAGTGAAACAAAATAATTCCTTAAAAAAAGGAATGTTTTTCTGTGTTGGCGATAAAATGTACATATGTGCATATGAGAGAGCGAGAAAGAGATAACCACCCTTCTAGTCCTCTAGCCCATCAGATCTTGGGCACTTCATATGTTTCATATTCAGATCACAGTCACCAGGACCAGTAAGTGGCGTGATGGTTAAAGGCGTTGGATTCCCACATTGCTGACTATGGTTTGGGTTCCAGACTTGTGGGCTTGCTTTTCACTCTGCGGCCCCTTTCTCTCTCTTTCTGTGTGTGTGTGTGTGTGTGTGTGTCTGTCTGTCTGTCTGTCTGTCTCTGGTGAGCCACGTGCCCTATAGCAAATTTGAGTAATAATAATGATGATGAAAAATAAAATTAAATAAGTAATTATTAAAAACAAACAAACAAACAGAAAACAGAAAAACTACAGTTACCATGTGGGATCCAGCTTCTCTTAAGGCAGTCCCTTACTGCTGTATCACAGAGTTGGCCCCTATCCTGTGATTTTTTTTTTCCTGCCATAGGGTACATGCACTCAACAGAGACAGACAAGGAGAAAGAGAGAAAGAGAATGAGAAATCATCTCCTAGAGGGGATGGCCAAACTACAACCCCTTCTCCATTTCCCTCTTGGGATTTTGGGCACACACACACATACCTGGCGTGTTTTTATCAAGCCACCAAGTCTGGGGCTTGAACCTGGCAGACAGCATGTGGGATCTAGTTGCTTTAACCACCACACCACCAGCTGGCCCCTTCCTAAGAAATTTATTTTTCAAAACATTATCTGAATCAATCTACTTCTCTCCAACCAAGAGAGAAGTCTATGCCACCATCATCTTTCACTTGGCCTGCTGAAACCATTTTTTAATTGTCCTAGTTCCATTTCTCCACAGTAGGAAGTTATGCAATGATTTTCTTCAAAACTGAAAATAATTTCTTGCCCCTGCTACAACCCTTCTAATGGCTTCTGTGGCAGAGACTGTTTTATTTCAACAGCCTTTCTCTCCTTTTACTTCAGTAATAAAATCTCTGAAGTTTAGGTTAGCACCTGAAAGTAAAATAATAATAATAATAATAATATCTTTTTCAGAGTCCCTCTTTGCACTTATGTGTGGTCATATTTAGTCATAACTCTGACTAATGAGATGAAAACCAGCGAGGTTTTCTGTAGTTTCCTGGCAGGTGGCATGGTGGCTAAGGTGCTGGATTCCCAGATGGCTGACTCTGGTTCAAGTTCTGGAGCTGGTGGCTTGAAAATCACACTGAGAACATGTGTGTGCATGTCCAAAATCTTGAGAGGAGAATGGAAGAAAAGGGAGTAATATAGCCATTTTCCCTAGGGAGTGATTTCTCACTTTCTCTGTCTGTCTCTCTCTCTGTCTCTCTCTAGTGAGTACATATGCCCTATGGCAAAAACTTTTTTTTTTTTTTAATGGAGTTCAGGGCCCACCAGTGATGTGGTTGTTAAGCCAGCTAGATCACACATGGCTGAGTGCATGGTTCAAGTCCCAGATCAGTGACTTGAAAAACTTCCCAGGCGTGTCCATGTGTGTGTGTGCCCACAAAATCCTGAAAGGAGAAATGGTGGAGAAGGGATTGCTGTGTGACCATACCCCACGGGGAATGCTTTCTCACTTTTTCTTTCTCTTTCTGGCTAGCACACATGCCTCTAGCAAATTTTAAAAAGAAGGAAAAGGAGGAGAAAGCAGCTCATCCTGCTGCTGTAATAGGCATGAAGGCTAAAGCTGGATAAGATGAACTTGAAAGTAAAGATAATGCACTATGAAGAAACAAGATAGAATGTGCTTAGAGTTTCCAACACAGTGGGGCTTAAGTCTAACTAAGATAGCTTTCCATCAGACTTGGAAGAAAATCTAAACTCTTTACCAAAGCCTAGAAGGTTCTACATGGCTGGACCCACTCTAGAGTAATTTTTCCACTTTCTTCTCACCCACCATGCTCCAACCACTCTGGCTGCTTCAACACATCAAGCTTCTTCTTGCTTTAGGGCTTCTTCACTTGTTTTTTTCCCCTCTGCCTGGAACGCTCCTCCTCAGATCTCCGCATGGCTGACTACTTTTTGTTTTTCAGGTCTTGACTTAAATGTCACTATTGTAGAGATGGTTGCCCTGACCAACCCAATCTAAAGTACCCATCAAGTCATTTTCTTTTCTAAAACTTTAATTCTCTACATAGAATCTATCATTAACAGATTATTCTTTATATAATTTGTTTAGCCTGTGCTCCTCACTAAAATGTAAGCTCCAGAAGAATAGGGATTTTTCTTTGTTTTTGTTTGTTTGTTTGTTTGTTTGCTTTCATTTATATAGGGTATTTATGTTCACTGAAAAGGACGAGAGAGAGAGAGAGAGAGAGAGAGAGAAGGAAAGTTTTGTTTTTCAGGCTACAGGTCTGGACTTGGAACCTGTGCAGTCAGCCATGTGGAATCTAGCCATCTTAACCACCATTCCACCAGCTGGCCCAGGTCAGGGGTTTTGCTTGGTTGGCCATTGCTACAATCCCAGTGTTCAAAACATTCCCAGAACCTGGTAGGCACTCAATGTTTGGCAATGAATAATCAAATACTATTCCACATAATGAGGAAGTTAAAAGCAAGGGTTTTTAAAGTCAGAAGACCCACCTTCAAATTCTGGCTAGGCCACATACCAGTTGAGTGATTCCCCCTCAAGTTGTTTAAAGACTGTAAAATGAGGATTCCACCTATGGCAAAGGGCAGGAGTAAATGAAGTGGCATTTACAAAGTACTCCCTCCTTCTCCAACCCCCTCCCTGAGGGCTCTCTGTTTTTTACCTTCACCATCAGCCCCTCACACACCATTTCTCTCTTGCTTAGTGTGACACTGGAGAATCTAGAGTAGGCTTTTGAAATTTGGCGGGAATTAACGTCATCAGTCGGATGGAAGCGAACCGCACACAAGCGAGACCTCCTCTGTCTCGCGCGCTAACTTTGCAGCTCTGATAGCCAATCAGGGTTTGCGTCGGAGCCCGAGTGCTGGGAACTAGCCAATCGAATCCGGGGGGCGGGCCGCAGTGGAGGCAGTGGCGAGAGGGGGCGGGGACAAGGCGAGGGCACGCACAGTTCTGGTGGCCGGGGTCTCTGCAGGCCAATGGGAGAGGCCTCCGGCCTGAAGGCAATGGGGCGTGGCATTGGCATTTCCAGTAACTGGAGACCGTCCCAGGCCGGGCCAATCAAACTAGGGAGGTGGGAGAAGACCAGCCAATCAGTGTGCAGGACAGGGGCGGCAGCGAGTGGTGGAGGCTCGCGCTAACGGTGAGCGATGGTGATGGCAGCGAAGAAGGGCCCAGGCCCAGGTGGCGGGGTCGGCGGGGGAAAGGCGGAGGCAGAGGCGGCCTCGGAGGTGTGGTGCCGCCGGGTGCGGGAGCTGGGCGGCTGCAGTCAGGCCGGGAACCGGCACTGCTTCGAGTGCGCCCAGCGCGGGGTCACCTACGTGGATATCACCGTAGGCAGCTTCGTCTGCACCACCTGCTCCGGCCTCCTGTGAGTGGACCGGCGCGGGCGGAGGACTGGGCAGGAGGGGCGGAAAGTTGGCATGGGGGAACCGAGGGAGTCGAGGTGGGAGGGCGGTGGGAAGACCAGGAGATTCGCTGGCTGTGAGAGAGGGTCGTCTGCTGCAGAGGTGTCGTGGGGAAGGGAAGTGACAAAACGTAGGCTGGAGACGCGTTGCGGAGGCGGAGGCGGGGGGGTGTGGGGGGGGCGCGGTGGAAGGATAACTGTAGAGAAAGGGAGAAACTCCCTGAGGGAGGCGAGAACTCAAGTGGAGAGGGAGAGAACTCAAATGGGGAGAATTGAAGGAACTCGGAATGGAGTAGGGGGTAGGAATTTAAAAGGCTAAAAATTGATATATACATTTAAAGGGCACTTCGTGCAGGTGGAATCCAAAAAGGAAGGAGAGAAAACTGATCTGAGTATGCACTGAATGGAGGTGGCTATAGCTCAAGGTGAAGGAATGCATCTTCCTTCTGGCTTATGTTCCTCCTGGAGTTTGAGATGCAGAAACTAATTGAAATAGGTAAATTAATACAGGTTGATAGCCTAGAGATAGTGGCAGGAAAGAAGCCATGGTCCAGGCTTAAAGTGCAGATCTTAATCTTACAGGACTTTGGAATGCTACCTTAAGGGTAGACCCTTATGAAATCTGTGATGAGAGCCAATGGGTTACCCTGGAAGAGAGTTTAACTCTTAACTTTTCCAGAGGTTGGAGATCTGCATGAGCCATCCCTAAGTGTAATCACTTACACCTTTAAGCTCCTTGTTGCCATGACTGGATCCTGGTAGTAACATCTAGTAAACCCCTCTAGGGTTTTTGTTTTTGTGGGTTTTTTTTTTTTGGGGGGGGGGGCTTTGTCCTGTAATCTGCAGTGCTACACTTGATACTGGTGCAGTGTTTGGTTGTACCTTAGAGCCATGGTTCTAGCCCAGATTTCTGATTATATAGGAAAGTTCCCCACCTCCTGCTCCTACCTCAGGGAATTATTTGTTTAAATGCACAATTAACATCTGATACCAAGCTTGGATTGTTTTCCATTATGTTTGTCAAGGAATTCATTTAGCCTTTTTTTTTTTTTTTTTTACTATTTAGTTTGATACACTGTTGTTTTTTAACAAGAAATGCTTCTCTTGTTCTTACACCCTTAGTAAAGTAAGGAGTGAGCAGTATTGTTCTTGCCTGACAGATGGGAGAACAGAAGCAAAGAGAGATTTAGTAACTTACCCAATGCCATATGGGAGTTGCTTTTCTCAGCATTTGCTCGATATTAGTTATGATCGTGGCAGACCAGAAATGAGTGTCCAGTTCTCCTAAAATACAGTTTGGAATTTTCTTGTTTTTTACCTCCTTTGCCAAACTTCTATGTTCTGATCAACCTCACTTGTATGTTGTAAGATCAACTCAAGTTTGGTCTAAGTAAAAAGCCATTGTAGCTCTTGGAGCAGTGATTTAGAACCCAAACAAGGATATATCTTAAGTTGAGCTAGAGACTCAAATAAAGCAAGAGACTAGGATGAATATCCTGAGGAGAAAAGGAACAAAGTTTAGGAGTGTTTAGAATGTAAAATAGAGAAAGAGCAGATTTCTGATGATCCTGTTACAAAAAGGAACATTTGATTATAGAGTCTGAAAAGCAGAGAGAAGTAGGAGGATAAATTGATGGGCTGTCAGAGCTAAGACCTATAAGAAAATATTAGGAAACAGTATTTATTCATTCTCATGGTTAGCAGTGATGGTCTGAAAGGTTAAAATCTGAATAAATGGGAAATGCTGACATCATTATTGTTATTTTCCAAATCTTGGCTTAAAGTATTCCACAGATAATATTTCCCTTCTATAATGAATTTCCCTCAATCAGGACAGAGGAAGGTCAAGGGATCTGGGACACGTTAAAAACCCGGTTTCTTTTGCTGGAAAAGTTAACTCTTTAAATATCAATGCACAGGCCTAGCTACAGTGGTGTGTGCTAAGATGTGTTCTGCAGGCTGGGATCACAGGAGAGGCCTGGGGTCAATTCCTCCTCCATCCTAAAGTATGAATGGATATGCTTATAATCTCAGCAAAATAGGGAACCTGAGGCAGTAGGATCCTGACATAGGGAGTCTCTGTATTAAAACAAGTTTTTTAATGGGCTGACTCCATGGCACAGCTGTAATGTATTGCTCAAGAGAAGCCAGATTCCACATGGCAACCTCAGTTCAAATCCCCAGCCCGGTCAGCCTGAAATACACTGGGCACATGTGCAAGAGCTCAGGATCTCTTGGACTGGAGGACTAAAGGAAAGGGACACATCCTATGCGAGGGGTACTCATCCATTTGTCTCTCACATGTTTGCATGAGCACTCTATCATGAATAAAAAAGGAAAAAAGTATAATTTTTAAAAAGTTTTTAATTAAAAAATAGAGATATGCACAATTTTTAGAACTTTACCACTTCTCCCTGTGGTCACTATTGTTGATCTGATCAATGAAAAGTCAGACACCTGTGATCTAAGTGTACTCTGAATGGAGGGAGGTAGCTATGACCCAAAGATTGATTAGTTCAATAGAGAAGTATCCCAAGAGGTCTGACTTTGTTAACAATAAGAGAAAGTATAGTGAAGGACCAAGAGGTTGGGCTGATAAATGAAGCTGAACTGAAGGCACGTCAAGATTGTAAGGAGAGGGCTGGCCCAGAAGCACAGCAGTTAACCCCTGTGCAAAGGGAGCCATATGCCACATGGCTAATCACAGTTTGAATCCTAGCCCTGGCAGCTTGAAAAACACCCCAGGTACATGTGTATGCAGGAGTGCAGCATGACCATGCTTCATTGCAGGGTGCTTGCTCTCTAGTGAGCACATTTGCCTTCTGGCAATTAAAAAAAAAAAAAGATTGTAAGGAGAGAAATGTCAGGAGAAACTGAAAGAAAACTGGAGGACTGGAGTTTACCTGACTATGACTGCCTGAGTTCTGGTGGTATATTACATTTGCTAATTGGAATTTTAATTAGCACAGACAAGTATATAAGCCTTTTGAAGGGGTCTTAAGGTATTACTCAGGTACTGCTCAGAAGTGGCAGATGGACCACAGGAGAATACATAAAGTAAGGGATGCTTATTGGTAGCTGCGAAGTGAGGAGAGCACACAGTGCAGCAGTTGATAGAGAGGCATGACTCCACAGTGGCACATAAGCCGGTTAGCTTCCTAAATCCACATGATTGATTCCCTATAGGGTAGGATTTTTTGTGATGGTGGGAAGTAAAGGTTGCATTAAGAGTAGGCCAACAGGGACCAGCAGTTAGCATAATGGCTATGTCGCTGGACTCCCACATAGTCGACCACGGTTCGCGTCCTGGACCCGGTGGCTTAAAACTCATGCTGGGCGCGTGTGCATGCATGCCTAAGATCCTGAGAGGAGAATGGAGGAGAAGGGATTGCGGCGTGACCATCCCCCCTGGGGGTTGATTTCTCGCTTTCTATCTCTCTGTCTCTCTCTGTTTGTCTGGTGAGCACATGCGCCCTATAGCAAAAACCTCTCCAAAAAATAATGAAGAGTAGGCCAACAGACTTCACATTTATTCATTCAGCAAATATTATTGAGTACCTATAAAGCCCCAGACAGTTTTAGGCACTGAAGAAAGAGTATTGACACAGTCCCCACTTTCGTGGAGCTTACATTGTAGTGAAGGCCATGAACTATAAATAAATCTTTTTTTTTTTTGAGAGGTTTTTGCTATAAGGTGCATGTACTTGCCAGAAAGACAGAGACAGAGAGATAGAAAGCGCGAAATCACCCCCTGAGGGGGGATGACCACGTCGCAATCCCTTCTCCTCCATTCTTCTCTTGGGATCTTGGGATCTTGGGCACGCATGCACGGGCTTCTTTAAAACCGACGGGGCCCGGGACTCGAACCACGGTCGACTACATCGGAGTCCAGCAACATAGCTATTACACCAACTGCTGCTCCCTAAATAAATAATTCTATATATAAAGTGAAATAAAGCAATATTAGTTGAAGAGTGATGGTAGCTGATATGGAGGTATGCTGCAAAGAGTATTCTTTGTCAAAATGAAAAGGATTGGGAGGTACTGAACACCATAACTAGAGAAAGGAGAGAACAGGATTGGCTTTATTTTAAAGGCCAGTTTTCTGTTGACTGTGTTACAAATATGTCTAGCTCTGAGGTGGGTGGAGTTCTGGAGGCAGCCAGCGGAATTACCAGAGTTCCCAGCTGGCTGGGTTGACTGATGGAGCAAAGTCCACTGTTTCAACCAAAATCAAATTTCCTAAGATCTGGGAAAAAAAAAAAAACCTCACATTTTAATATTGGTAGGTGGGTATAACAATGTCTTTATCTGCATGTATGAGCTCATACTCACTCTCTTTAAATAGGAAATATTTTCTCAGCCTTAGCAAAACCTCCAGCATTAATGTGAGGGCCTATGAGAGAGGATGGTAGTGTCTGCTATTTCTAGATTTACATACATACTGCCACAATTGTAGGTCTCAAACTTGACCTATATTTGACCTTCCAATATCTAATTTTCTTAACCATAATATAGATCCTTGTTCTTTTCCCCACATATATATATGCTTGTTTAGTTATATTTCTTCTTCTCCTTCTTCTTCTTCTCCTCTTCTCTTCTTCTCCTTCTTCTTCTTTTCCTCTTCTTCTTCTCCTCTTCTTCTTCTCCTCTTCTTCTTCTCTTCTTCTTCTCCTTCTTCTCCTTCTCTTCTTCTTCTCCTCTTCTTCTTCTTCTCCTTCTCCTTCTTCTCCTTCTTCTTCTTTCTTCTTCTTTCTTCTCTTTTTTAGGTTTTTGCCATAGGGGATGTGCACTCTCCAAAGAGAGAAAGTGAGAAATCACTCCCAGGAGGATGACCATACTATAGTCCCTTTTTCAATATCCTCAGGATTTTGGGCATGTACATGTGCCCGGTGTGATTTCAAGCTGCAGTCTGGGACTTGAATCATACAATCAGCCATGTGAGATCCAGTGCCTTAATCTAA